TTGTGTGTCTGTGTATATATATATATATATATATTTGTGTGTGTCTGTGTGTGTGTATATATATATATATATATATGGGTATTTGTATTCTGTGTAGATGTATTTAGACCATTATTGTAATGCTATTTTTGGTCTCAGTTTATATTAATAAATATGTCTAAGAATCAGTAAGTGGTCCAAACGTTGTTTGTATAGGCCTTTTTTGCAAAACTGAAATTCATATTATCTCACATCTCTGAACAGACATTTCAAAATTAGATAACGATTAATTTGAAACTGAATCATATCTGAAGTAATATCATTTTGTTTTCAAACAAATTACTGTATAACTAGATTAAACGTCTAACTTTACCAACAGACATGAATATTTTTTACCATATGAATGTTTTATTTTTACATTTGCCCACCCACATTTTTTCTTGTGTACTAGAAGTTAAACCACATATATCTTACAAAATAGGTATTCCATTTAACCCTACTTTTTATATTAATGGTACTACTGCACTAAATAATTATTTACTTAATTAAGACCCCAAGTGGCACAGTGGTATGTCTGCGGACTTACAACGCTAGAAACCGGGTTTTGATACCTGTGGTGGGCAGAGCACAGATAGCCCACTGTGTAGCTTTGTGCTTAATTCCAAACAAACAAGAATACTTAATTAAATTCATCAATCCACTTTTAAAGGAACTTGTCCCCCCCAAAAAAAAATCATTGCTCGATATGCTAGAATGGTAAAAAAACCTTCTGATCCTTTCCAAGGTCTGTGAATACTTTTGGGCTTCAAAACTAAATTCAAAGTACTTTTTTAAAACCCAATGTTGGCTCAACGTAATTTAGTACACTAAAATGTGGTGGGAATAACAAATCCCTTTAAAATTACATGTGAGTATAAGATGTCTTGTCCCCCCTTCCAAATTTTTGGTGCTGGTGCCACCACTGCAATTAATATACTATACACAATCCATCAGTCTAAAATAGCAGATGATTAATTATGCAGCTTACAAATTTGTACTCAAAACTGACTTTATTTTAGATAAAATTATTAAGCATTTCCATATAGCAATCCCAATCTACAGTTCATTGTCAAAACTATACAATAACTCAAAAATATTACCTTACTATTTCTGTGATGCAAAATAACAGATGGCAAGTAAAAAAACATAAAAAAAATTATTTTATCATTTATGATTCATACATAAATGAAAATATTTAAACACTATACTGTTTTATAAAGAAAGTTGAAATGTGTGGAGTGTAATGGTACTGTAGATCAGTCCCAACGAAACATTTTTATTGTGTAAACAAAACGAATTTGTTTTTATCTGAAGTATTAATTTATTTATGATCTGAAACAAGTGTTCAAGAATAATATTTAAGATATATACTCTATATCTATTGTACCTCTTTTTGCACCAGCATCTTCTTCATACTCTGTTTTCATTAACACCTCCCATACAATGCGGATTCGCTGAGTTGGCATTAGGAAGGATTCTTCATCGTTTATAAAAAATCTAAAGAAAGAGCAAAAATATTTTACAGCCAACTTGCACATTTAAGCACTAATGCATACATACATCTTCATATAAAAATCATCACATCATACGAGTTGAAATTATGATTTCTCATTCAATAATATATATTAATCTTAATGAAACCTTAACATATAAAATAGGTTTCTTAAATTTCAGTATTACAAGATTTGTAATACAACATGAAAACGTTTTCATGATTAGCTAATCTGCAAGAATGCTGTATAATTGCAATATTAGAATTTAAAATTTTCAAGTTTGAAGTTTTCAAATACTTATACTGTTAATCTGTCAAAACAGGCCCCTCACCATTATATTGTTCAATTGCATCTTATACTTAAACTTATATCATGGGGCAAGAAGTGGCCTAGTGGTTAGCATGCTCGTACTATGGATCCGAGGGTTTGTTCATCATGGCTTTTTGCCACAAAAATTCACTCCATATCATGGGGATTATGAGTGCACTATCAAAGTGATGGCCCAAGAACTTGTAATGGCCGGGTGTTGATGACAAGCTATCTTTCCACTATTTTATAGGTTCAAAATTAGAAATGAATATGCACAGACAGCCTTTTGTGCAGTTTTGCACAAAAATTTTGAAACAAACAAACTTACATCATCTTATTTATAGTGCAACCTGTTTTCACATTATAATTTTTTTTTCAATAAGTAAAATGAATAGTTTCTGAAAATTAAAAAGAATTAGGGTGTATATAGTGAAAGTATGAAAAGACTGAAATTCATTTGAATACTATGTTTCTGATTTTATATGTAAGCCACATGAAGCTAGGATCCAAAAACTGCAGAGTAAGCAAGTCAGATAAGTAGTATAAATGAAGAGCCCCTTACTTATTTTAATGTAAGAAAGAGTTTTTATTATATAAATATTTAACAAAAAGGAGTTGCAAATGAAAACAGAAATATCTGTGCTGATTTCATGCTCCAACTTTGAAAACTTGTACACATAAAAAAAAATTCAAAAATATATACATGTAAGTCGCTTCAAAACATAGTGGACCAAAAGGTAGCAATTAATAGGCAGTAGATCAGAGAAAACTATGATCTTAATAAAAACCTCTGCACAGACTGTGAATCAATTATTTATAAAAAGTACCAAGTTCCCCAACTACATATCTTTGTGATCACTCAAAGACTGATGAGGTAATAAAGAATCTAAACTTCCCAGTATGAAAATGAGAAATAGGTAACTGCTGGCCATCTCTGAAATGGGATTACAACTTATAAAACAAATGACTTGGAAGAATCAGAAAAAAATCATAATAAAAGAATTTATGTGTCAAATGTAATGCAAGATGTATGGCATGTTTATAATTGAACTACAGTTATAGGAGGAAGCACAAGAAACAGTGAGAATTTGTATTAATGGGCAGTGGAGGTAGCATGACAAGAAAGTTAATAAAAAAGGTTAATATTCCACGATAATAAATGTCTTTCAAAGATATTTAAACAAAACAAGTGAATGATAAAAATCACCCTGAAGTTTACCTATTTCCTAAAAACTAGGTGGAACAGATACAACAGATGCAATTGAGTCAACCCTCATAGTTAAAGATAGCAGACATGTTTGCTGTAGAAGCAGAAAAAATATGATAAATTTCTAAAGTATAACTTAACAGCTTTGAATTGGTCAGTCAAACAATCTAGATAGAGGCTCAGCATAATTAAAGCAAATTCAGAGTTTCTCTTAGAAATATGTGATATGGCTCTGGTATTCTTTGGTAAAATTGTACTTGCTTTAGACACTGGACAGTCAATTTAACATAACATTAAAGAACAATAAGGGATCTCTTGGTCCTACTCGGCCATCCTAACCACTAAATTAAACTAAGCACTAAAAAACACAAAGCCAACCCTTATCACCTTTATCATTCAAATATTTATCAAGCCTTCCCTTAAATTAATTACATCTACCACATCCGAAGACAATCCAATCCAAAAGCCAAACATCCTATTAGCAAAATAAAGCAGTCTTAGATGAAGATGACTTCTTCCCTGACAAAGTTTATATTTGTCCTCTGGTCTTACCATTCTCATTATTAAATATGAAAAAGATGAGGCATCAACAGTATCAGTTCCCTTAACAATCTTAAACACTTAAATCATGCCCTTCTATCTCTTCTTTTGAAGAGAAAACGTGTTCAGAGATCATAACCTATCCTTGTATGACAACCTAGTAGCCCTCCTCTGAATCCTTTCCAACAATTCAATGTCCTTTCTAAAGTAAGGTTCCTGAGATTGAACACAATACTTTATATGTGGCCTAACCAATGAACTATACTATGAAATTATACCTCTTTAGACTTGTATTCAATATTTCTGTAGATACTACCTAAATCCTATTTGCTCTGCCATTAGCAATAGCATATTTCTTAGATGGCTTACGGAACACCAAAATCTTTTTCATCCATAATACTATTACATTTTTCCTGTCAAAAATATACTTATAATTCAAATGTGATATCTCACATGCATTTTGTATAATTAAAAGTCACCTGCCATTTATTCTCCCAACCCATCAAATAATTCAAATCCTTCTGTAAAGCAGTAGCATCCTCTTCACAGCCAGCAACACTCAAAACTTTAATGTCATTAGCAAATTTAAATAATCTGTTGACCATTCCTACATCTATGTCATTGATGTAAATCTCAATGAGCAAAGGTCCTAACACTGAGCTCTGAGGTACCACGTTTGTGACATTAATCCATTTGACTGAACTCCATTTATAACACCCTCTACTTTCTTCCATCTAGCCAGCTTTCTATCCAATGAGCCAACCTATCTCCAACACCTACAGAGATGACTTTTTTTAACAAGCCTTTTATGTGGCACCTTGTAAAATCTCAATAAGCAGAGGCTCTAACACTGAGGTACCACACCTGTGACATTAATCCAGTATGTGACATCAAATCCATACCTACACCCTCATGTACATAAGCAGTAACCTCTTCAAAAAATGTCAAAATATTAGTAAGACTAGATTTTTTGATAGTCAAACCATGGTAATTAACCAACAAATTTTTAAACTTTGTTAAATGACTTTGCAAAATAATCTTTTATCAGATTTTCAAAACCTTTCCCAAACAGATGTAAGTCTAATGGGCCTATTATTACTGGGACAATTTTTACTTCTTCTGTAAAAAGAGGAGTAATATTGACCAGTATCCTATCTTCTGGCATCTGTCCACTATTCAAGGGATTGAATAAAATAATAGCAAATGGCTCATATATCCAATATTTAACCTCTTTCAAAACCCTTGGGTAAATATTATTTGGCCTAGGAGCTTTATCATTCTTCAACTCTAAATTTTTTTTAACAAGCTCAAAATTAACATGATTGTCTCATTCAATCTTGTTTCCATCTAGAAACTTGTCAGAATGAAGAATGTTGCTTAAATCTTCATTGGTAAACACTGAAGTAAAAGTAGAATTTAATAACTCAGCCATCCCATAAGCTTCTGGGGACTGTAGGAATCACCAACCCAGGTTTGGTGGTTATTTGTCAAATAGTGTACAAGGAGTTAGTGGACAGACAAACATACAATTTTGCTTTTATATATATATAGTGATATCTTGAGGTAATATTTTTTCTTTTTTAATGTTGAAGTTCCTCAGTGGGTCAATTGTAAGTTTATGGCCTTACAATGCTAAAATCCAGAATTCCATTCCCTGTGGTAGACAGAGTGCAGAAAGCTTATTGTGCAACTTTGTGTTTCAACAAACAAACAATTTAAATGTTGAAGAAATTTAGTGATACACAAAATATGTTAAGAACATAGAAGATTTAAACATTTACTTACTCCTCTTGATGACTTCTTTTAAAAGCACATGAAAAATATCGAGGTTCATCAGGAATTACTTTCTTGTCATACATAAAGGGATTTTCTCTTTCAAAACACCAAAAAGAACTACAAAACCTTTCATTTTTTACTTCCTCTGCTTCCTGTAAAAATGTATGGCATATACATTAATTCCTTTTTTCTGAAGAAAAGAAAATTTTTGTAATGTATTTTATAAGCTCAGTGTACAAATGCTGATAAATCCATTTTTCTAAAACTTATCATAGTACAAGAAATTTTCAGATATCGTACTCATAAAATTATATCTTAAAACACAATAATCTTTAATGCATTTTACTTCTGTTATTTTCAAAAAAACAAATAATATTAAAGCTAGGTTAGCTTTTAATTTCAATTAATATTTTTGCGTTTATTTTACTTTATTAAAAGTTAACCATCATTTGTGCTTTGTAAACATGCATGTGATTGTGAGTCATAAAATATGTTATCATGTAAATATGCTTTTGTATTTGCTAATTTCTTTGCCCTTTAAAATATATCACAGTTGAAATAACTGCTAATTACATCCTTCCAGATACATCCAAGTAAAGCTTTTAAATTTTCATGCAAGTGTTCTGTACGTGACTATGACATCCTTGTAAATTGGGAGTACATAGGTCATAAATGTTCATTAGTCATTTTGTTTAAATAAAGGTTATTACAATAGCTGTCCCATAAAGGCTGGTATCAGTTTGACTCTGTAACTGTAACTACTATTGGTTCTCTTCCCCTTTTATATGTTATTTGCAATAGTCATTGACACAGATAATCTAAGGACTGTGGAATAGCACACTGGGATACCCCTGACTTCAAAGTGCAGTATTATACTATTCTTGATCCAACTGTTGTCTTGTATGGACAGTTTTAGGAAGCCTTCTTTCTATCCCAGCCACCAGTTTGAGTTTGAACAAATAGCCAGCCAGTTTGGTATTAGAAAAATACATGTAAAATTCAAATAATACTTTAATCTCCTATAGCATAGATTTCATATCTACAAAATTTTTAAACTTTTATAAGTTCTTATTTGGAGTTATTTTTTTGTGGCTGGACCAGTCAAGGAATTTAGCTGTTGTTTAATGGAATAGTTGCATTGTGTCCTACCTGACTTTGTGTATAT